GTGACCTGTAAATTTTTAGTCTGCAAATATTAAATAAATAAATAAATAAATAAACAGAAATTAATTACTACAGTCGACCCCCCCTATAACACTTGATTATTCCGTTTTATATGAATTACATGTTGTATGAGTCACTTAGATTTTACAAATGCTGTGCCGGGCTGTGAACGGCTCACCTATTTGAAAAATCTAAGTGACTAAACACAATAAAAACAGCACTATGTAGTTGGATACAACAGACATTACATTTTCTAATTGCATAGCTTTTGCACATAGATTTTCTTGATGGATGATGCGATGAGATATAAATAATTTAGAAAAATTCTGTTCTCCCATTTTTTGTTTGAATAAGGAAATGACTCCCTTATTTTTTCCTGTCATTGCTGCCGCAACACTTCAGAAAATAATATTCAATTTAAACTAGACGAATTACATCGAAAAATATTTATTTATAATTTCTTCTAAACATCTCGCGGGCCGGATAGAAACTCTTCGCGAGCCGTAGCTGGCCCGCAGGCCGGGGGTTGCCCACCGTTGGTATATTACTTTATCGACTCGATAAGGTCCTTTAATGTTTGGATGTTTTCCTCTCATACCACTTTGAACTAAAATCCAGGATCCAACTTTAATGTTTACCAAAGGTCCTACATGCTTCCTATCATAATATTTTTTGATGGAGTCTCAATATTTCCTTCTTTGTTCTTCGGTACGCTCTTTTTCGTACGATTGTAGATCTATTATACTGAATTCGCTGTCAGCCTCCAGTTTAACAACTGTACGTTGCCATTTGAATAATGGAGAGCAACCTAAATAAGAGTTGTAGCTACGATTTTCGTGGCGAACTGCAGCATCCAAGCAAGTTTTCCATCCGCCTTTGAAATCTGGATAGCAATTAAGGAATTTCTTGAGATCCCGTATCTTTCTCTCACATACTCTGTTTCCCGCAGCATGATAAGGGGATGTGGTTTTTAATGTGATATTCCTGTCTCTGGCCCATTGCTTGAAACTCTCCGATTTAAAGGTAGATCTGCAATCGCTGATGATAGTAGTTACCTTATTGTTTAATGGTAATTTATCCAAATAACGGATGACACTACGCTCACCTCCTTCATAGCTTTAGCATAAGTTATCCGCGTAGCTTCGTCTATGACCACTAGAAGTGATTTAGTCGTTCTTACCCCTTTGCTTCGTTTCTGAAGCTCTGCAAAATCAATGTGTACCGTATTGAATGGTGTTTTTGATTGTGGGGGTAAATAGAGTTGGTCTTGACGGGGGTCGGTATTTAAACTTGACGGATTGACATATCGGACAGGTCTGCACGTAACATTGGATACTTTGTCTCATGTTAGGCCACCAGAACTGTGCCCTTAATTTATAATAAGTCCTCCAAAACCCATCATGACCCCCACTGTCCGGATCATCATGATACTGCTTCATAATGCTGTTTTGAGTATTTTTCAGGACAATCAACTCTTTATTCTTGGTCTTCTGCCATTTGTGTTTGTCGATTTGGTGGACTGGCATAGATTTCACGTGAGGACACAATCTGGAGATGGCATCCGCGTCTGTCAATTCTTTTCCAGAGCAGTGGTTAATTTTCATATCATAGGTTTGTAGAAAGACTTGCCACCGACCTAACCTTCCTTTCGGATCTTTTAATTCAATTAAAAAGGTAAGCGCTTGGTGATCGGTATGCACGGTGAATTTCCTTCCCTCCAAGAAACTTTGAAAATATTTAATCGCCTTGATCACGGCTAAACACCCCTTTTCAGTTGTGCTGTAGTTAACCTCTGCTGACGTAAAAGTATATGATTGGTATCCTATCACTCGTAATTGTCTTCCCCATATCGCATCGGTGTCCCGCTGGTATAATATGGAGCCGCAGCCATAATGGGATGCATCGGTACAAAGCTCGAAGTTCAGCTTCCAATCAGGAGTTTGTAATATAGGATTTGATATAATTCTTTGAATCAATTCTTGATAGGCTTGCTCACATTCTTTTGTCCACTCGAAGGGAACGTCTTTCTGTTTAAGTCGATCTAAAGTCGAACAATAGCGGCATAATTCAGAATAAAGGCACAAAAGTGTCCAGTCAGTCCCGTGAAACACCTTACCGTGTGAAGATCATGGGGCCGAGGCATATTACGGACTTTTTCGATTGACTCTGTTGCTGTAGTTTTGCTAAAACTATCTATAACTCTTCCCAAGAATTTGATTTTATTTACATTAAATTCTGATTTATTTAGGTTTATAACAAAGTTTGCGTTGTATAGCCTCTCTAATACTCGATAGGTGAGCTCCGCATTACTTGTTTTATTGTCAGCCCGTGCTTATATCATCGATATAATTCCAGACTTTTTCATTATCCAAGAGATCCCCCAGTACCTTATTCATAACTTTTTGGAATAATGCTGGAGAATTTTTCCAACCTTGAGGCAAACGAGTATACTGATAGTGTCCAAATGGGGTGACAAACGCCATATACTTTCTAGTCTCTCACTAATTCCAATCTGCCAAAATCCATCTTTTAAGTCCAATTTTGTAAAATATTTACATCCTCTGAATCCATTGATGATGATATCTATTAAAGGAAAGGGATAAGGATCCAATTCCGTCACTTTGTTGATTTTCATATAGTTGTGAGCCAATCTATAATCGCCATTCCCTTTGGGAAGAACAACACAAGGAGAAGCATAAGGAGATGATGTTTCTTCTATTATGCCTTGTGCTAACACGTCTTTTATTTTGATCCTTAACCACTGATATTTGTCACGAGACAACCGATAGGGTTTACATTTAAGCACCTTCGTATCTGTTAAATTAAAATCGACAGTGAACTTAGGTGGTCTGGAATAATCGGGTTGATCGATGCCCGGAAAATGCCGCAAAACTTCTTCTTTTTGTAGTATAATTTTGTCTGTTTTAGCTAATAAGACTTCCTGCTTACCAAAATTCCAACAGATATTGAGTTTTTCCAATGTGTGGATCCCTAGCAAAAGTTCATAGTCCATTTCCTTAACGATAATTGCTTCTATGTGTTGAGTTCGATCTCTAAAATTTATAGTGGCCAACACACCTTCTTTATATACCATGAGTGCTCCATTAAATGATTTTAAGACTGTATGTATTGGGTAGGATTTTAGTTTGCATTTATCTACTAGTTTAGGACTAATTAAGTTGACCGTGGATCCTGGATCAAAAAAAACTGCACAATGCACGTTATTCACTTCCATTGAGAAAACACGAGGATCATTATGTTCCGTGAATAAACAATGGTCCGATTTTGTCAGAGGGATTGGTAAACCCTTCTTTACTCATTTTTTGCATCTTCCCTATTTTCCAGATTCTCATTCAAATAGTTTCTACCGGAAGGGAGACCACTATCAATTTCATTCACAGAGGTAAAACTTTGGTTACCACGCATATTATTATCCCTTCTTTCGATTTTCCTTGGTACCGATTTTTTGGTAGGTACCAATTTGCTCAATCCGACACGTAAGTCTTCTTTATCATTAAAATTGTGTTGTAGAAGAATAGCTTGCATATCCGCAGGTAGTCCACGCATTACCATGGTGATAAAGCTTTGTTTCCCAATATCCGGATATGCAAATTGGATACGCCGTTGTTTTGAAAATAATATTCTAATAGTGAACCACCACGATATTCCCACATATCCGCTGATATGGACAGTTGGATTCGATTCTGTCCGAATGCACTAAGAAAAGAGTTTTTCCATTTCTCCCAATTATCACTGACCCTATCTAGTACTCGAGAATTGTACCATTTTACCCTCCAAGTAATTTCGAAGGTTACGAATCTTTTGTTCGTCGGTAACCCATTTGTGAGATGCACACGCATGTTCGTATGAAATTATCCAAATATGCACTTCCTCCAATTTTCCATCATATTTTTCTATATTGATTGTATCACGTGATGGGTTTAGTGACATTTTTTTGATGGTATGCCGAAAAGAGTTCATAATCTTCAACGTCTCGGCTTGTTGGTCCATGTACAGCTTTTGCAACTGAACCATTTGCGCCAACACATCCGACTTCGGGTCACGTGAACTGTCCGTAGGAGGAGTACTGTCCGTAGCGGCCGGTCTTAGTAAAGTCTTATCAAGATAAAGCTCACCTTCTGTCTCCGATAATGAAATAGTTAGTGTCCGGTAATTCGTCATCATCCGGCTAGCAGTTTGAAAAACCGCCGAGGATGAAATAGCTGGATGATTTTCGATTCCTTGAAATTCTTGATCGACTTCTGTCCATTCGTCTCCCCATCTACTTGATATCGGGAGATAATGTAGGAATCTTCGATCCTCTGTACTAAGAATTTGAAAAGCATAATTCTATTCTACTTCTACTTCAAAACTATATAAACTTAACTGTGTACTGAGATCCTGTCGACTGCGCCAATTTGTAATATTACAAATATTCAGACTGCTACACTTTAACAAAAAGGAACAGTGATTTGAAGGGCGGATGAATTTAACATCTGTTTTCCAGATGTCCCGTCTGCAAGGTGGGGACTTTACTCTCCTCTATCCCCTGATCAAGCGATCTCTTCCCCTTTGTGACCCCCTCAGTTCCTCGAATTCTTGACCATTGCAGCTGTGGGGAGTTAAGGGAAGTGGTGCTAATGGGTAGCAGATTTTAAACTCTGCTTACAACTCTTCATCTATATTTTGTCTAAATTTTATATTATGAAACTTGCATGCGCAGACAATTTCTTCTACTTTCATTTGATCACTCTATATATAATAAAGTTATAACTTGGGGAAGTAGCATGAAGAGTTTGGCAAGTCTAAGTTAGACTTGGCAAAACAACTCCTTATACTATTGATTGTGGATATTACTGCTCTATATTTATATATTTAAATATGCTGGTGTTTTTTACAATATTAACTTTGTTTCTGTCATAACAAACATGTCACACATTTTGACTAGGATAAATATATCTTGTTATATTCATATGAATATTATAAAGAAAAAACTTATTTTTTATTGCTTTAGGTAGCAAGTCAAGTTGCTGCTCTAGATATTGGATATAAGCCTGGAATTCAATATATACGTGACAATCCTCCTAAAGTATTATATTTGCTTGGAGCTGATGAAGGCATTATTACAAAAACTGACATTCCTGAGAATTGTTTTATCATTTTTCAAGGTAATTAATTCTTGTAAAAATCGTAATTATTTTTATTTATTAATTATAGCTTCAATTTCATAAAAAATTAAAAAGTTGTTTCATTTATATTGATTTTGTATTCATAATTAAATTTATATTTAGTGATATGCTAAATATATCAGAGTAAATAGCTAAATATTTCTTATTGACTAAAATATGTGTTTACCTTTCTGGAAATTAAAAAAAACAAAATCACAATAAAAAATAATACAAAAACTGATTGATAAATAGGATTGCTAGCACAATATTCTGTTAAATGCAAAGATAGAAACTTGCGACTACAACCATTTAGTAGTCACAAGTGTGTGTTCTGTATACACAAAGTCTCAGTTGACTGTGTTGTATCAAATTTAAACATGAACTTATTTTCCTTGTTCCATGCAAAGAAGTGATCTAGTAAAGGAGAAACAGTCAAAGTTGTATTGTAAAATTCTGGAAAGAACTATCTTTTTTGTATCACATCAATGCCAGACTGTACTTTGTTAAGAAAATAGCAAAGACATTCAAATCCAAAGTTACAGATTTTTCTGTTCTCTCCTTATTGTCCTGATCTGACACTGTTTAACTTCTAGTCATTAAAAGTTTAATTAAATTGAAGTGTTGAAAGGTTGACATTTTTTTTATTGGAAACAAAGTTTAAGGTGCAGTATAGGAACAGACTGGGGAAAAACCAGAAAGTTTTTATGTACAGAATGTAAAAATGGATCAAATGTTTGGAAAAATGCATCATTGAACAGTGATGAAGTTAAAAACTAAATATTCACAATGAAAATAGATGATACTAAACCTTTCTCAAACCAATCGTTTAAAAATAGAGACTTTATTTATCAATTAATATTTGTATGTTTACTTTCATAACAAATAACTGTAGTGATTACAAGATATATAAAGTTCATATAATTTTGGAAAAATCAAATTTTATATGTTCAGATAGTATAGGATGGGTGGCAAACCTTTTTGAGCCAGCATGCCATATAGTAAGTGTACTTCGCTTTAAAGATGTTTATGCATGCCAAAGTTGTAGACTTTGAATAACAATATTTAAATACATTAAACGAATATGCTTTAATTAGAATAAATGTAAAAAAGCTGATTGAAAAAAGGATGATCAGTTGATAAACTGAAAGGAGGATTGAAAAAGACAGATGATAAATCGAAGTCATATGGTACATTATGTGCCAGATCTCTTTATGTGCCACTTTGAGCACGTTTGCCACCTCTGGTATAGGACAGTATAGGACATTATAATTGTAATTCTGTTGAAGTGTCAGTTGATTTATAAAGTTAATTTAAACAATATTTTTTCAGTTAATATTGTTTATTAAATAATTACTTTAATAATTTCTATATATTTTTTTAAATTTGAGTTTCCAATTATTGGAATAAGATAAAATATGAATACTTATTCAGGTCATCACGGTGACAGAGGAGCTGAAATGGCTGATGTCATTCTTCCTGGTGCTGCTTATACTGAGAAACAGGCAACATATGTCAATACGGAAGGTCGGGCCCAACAGACAATCACTGCAAATAATCCACCTGGATTTGCAAGAGAAGATTGGAAGATTATTCGAGCACTTTCTGAAGTAAATTTGATTTGTTTTGATTAATGTTGACATATTATGATATTATGACTAAGTTATTGAAGTTATGATATTATGACTAAGTTATTAAGAAAGTATATTCTGTCAGAAAATATTTTTGAAATTGCCAGACTGTTTTTTCCTGTAACACTCAGAAAACAGCTGTTGTAATATTACCAGGTGCTTATTAACCCCTCAGCAGTGACCTACAGATATATTCGCAAAATTCTTTTGTGGATATTGCCAAAAGCTAGCCAAAAATTACCGTGAAAAAATTCACATAAAAAAGGAATTATGTAACAATAAAAAAAAGACTTTCCTTTACTAGACATAACTGTTTACAAAATCTTTTTCTGAAAGAATAATGAGAAAAAACGCGTGGAAAAATACGTAAAAAATTTCCCACATTTATTCTCCACTACATAGGGATAGCACCATGTCTGACTAACCCACATCTGAAAAGTTAAGAAAGTCTTTACTGCTGAACACAAGCAACTCATGGTAATCAGGGAGGAAGGGTCATAAGGATAAGTAAAACACTTTATTCAAAATACTTATTTTGACATAGGATTTCTCAAAGCACACATTATTATTAAACATGGGAATGGTGATACAGTAAGACCACACTTAATGCAGGGAATCATTCCTAGACGACAAAGTGTTAAGCAAAACAGTGTTAAACGAGGTCATTTTAAGATAGAATAAATAGGGATAGGTGAATACTTGACCAAAAATAAACAAATTTTACTTTAATTTTAAGTTATTTTTTATATTAATTTGTATAATAATATATGTTAAATAACACATCAACATATGTACACAGAAGTGTAAAGTTCACTTTTTGTGACGAAGGTCCCGACTTTTCTGAAATTCTTGTTCTTTTGCAATAAAGTCATTAAGTTTCAATTGTCGCTTTTTTCTTAAGCAAATGTCGGTAGCGGAAGATTGCATCCAAAATGCTTTGTTTCGCTTTGGCACTTCTTTCAAAATCTAGATCATTCGCTACAGTTTGATTGACGATTTCGGTTATCTTACTAAACTTTTACTAAGGAAATCTGTAGAGAAACTTTTTAGGTTCTTCGTCTTCAGAATCTCTATTTTCCAATTCCACATGAATTTCATGTTCTGCCAGTTCTCGAAGGTTGTCGTCGGTATGGCTCTCACCAGAAACCCGCAGTAACTCATCAATATCCCACTCGTCTATATCTCCTAGTCCTGTTGTATCGATTAGGTTGACAATTTGGTTGACCTAACGATACAGCAATAGCTCTTCTCATTAAGAATTCTTGGATACTTCTTCAGTCATAACTTCTTCCACACTTCATTTGTGCATTTATCAGTTAATTATATTGAATCAGTGTTAAGTGAGTCAGTGCTAAGTGGGGTCTTAGTGTACATGAATTTGTTGGTGTTACTGTGTTTCTAACAATTGAATTATTAATCAAAAAGAGGAATTAAATGTACTGATTAGTTACACATTCATTATTGTTTGATTATTGTGTAATTTCTATAAATTACACATGCTTAGCATTTTAAAATCAAAAGTGCCATGGCCAACATCAGAATAAAGTAATTGTACCTGTACATCATAGAAAAAATGGAATATCAATAAAGGATATTGCATCTTTGTATGAAATTAGTAGACAAAATGTTTACATTTTACACTGTTATGAAGAAACGACTAAGTAATATTTAAATTATTATTACAAATATACAATCATAGTGATATGGTTCACTTATCATACAATATTATCTTTCTAATATTAATGTGTACAGATGAATAACGAAGTCACTTTAACAGCAAATTGACATGTCATGTTTACAGATTATATGTCTATGTATGGACATATGGACAATTGTGAGGGCCCGGATTTAAGATTCGAATATTTTTATTCATTAGATTAAAAGTTCGGGTTAACACAAAAAGGGAAAAACAACCGACAAATTTTCTCATAAAAATCGCTCATAAACACTCCGTTCCCACGCCAATACTTCCCTGTAGAAGATGAGTTAACTGTTGTGTCATAAGTTTGTCACTTCGCCCACCATTGGTCAACGAAGATCATCACCTGTGACGTACATGGGGAAATCTCGAAAATAGAGCCCCCATATAAAAGACAAGTGCGATGACGACACAGGGGGAAAAAGTTATTTTCTATACTGTGTGTGTGTGGATTACCTGCCTCTCGTCGCCACCGTCTTCAACAGACTTTGAACTTTGACTGATTTGAACTTTGGACTATATTCCGAACCCAGGAGAACAAGAAACTACATCCACGATTTAACTCGAGGTATTTATCCTACACGCGATGATGTGTAAGCTCTCTCTCGCTATTCGAATATTCCAACCTCGCGGTTAGGGGCACGACTACTTTATACTTTGCCATTACTTTATGAACTATACGGATTGAACCCCGAGAGGGATTTGTATTCCAATTATTAACCATGTATAAATGTACAGAATAAACGGGTATTTTGTTGACGAGCTTGGATTGGTGTGCGTTTCTTCCGACATTTTCAACTCCATACTTAACCTGAAGTCCTCGACGAAATCACTCGTGATAATTTCCCATCCATCCGCGTATCTATCCGCGATAAATTGATAGATTGGTGTCAGATCCTGACAGGTGAAAGAATCTAACGATCCTTTCTCCTAACCTTTTTTTTTCCCATCCTTTAGACAAGCGAGACTGGACCTCAAGGTCTTGAGTCGAGTAAGTGGTAGGAGAGGGAACGTCCTCGTAAACATCCTACCCCCGATTAGTCTCACACAATAAGTTTGTCCCTTTTGTTCAAGAAAATGGAATTGATCTCTTCAAATTATATAGTTTTGACAAGAACATTCAAAGCTTCCTAAGTGATCATGTCAGACAAGTTTTTGTCCCTATGCATTGATGTCAAAAACAGTTTGTGATTGACTACTGTACCTGTACTGTATATATGATTAAACTATACATCCACTCAAATAATATATATATACACATACACATACATTTTTCTGGCTTCTGCAACAATCAGTTTATCTTTGTAGTGATATGAGTGATTTTTAATGCAAAACATTAATAACTTTTCAACTGAATGAGATAGAAATAAAATTTAAAAAATATCTTGTACAATGTTTACATTTTTGATGTTGCTGATTGATTAATGTTAACAGTGGTGCTCACTTTAGAATGTGTGTTTATTGTAAAGAATTATCATCAAAATTCCAATTGGTGTGCTTGCTATCAGTGCTAACAGAGTTATTGGGATGATGTTCTTTTAGAAGAAAAAGAATGGTCCAATAATGGTGATTTCAAGAAAGACTATTATTGAATGTTTCAAAAGTTGGTTAAAAACTGTTTTGGTCATTTTAAAAATGTAATTTTTTAAATGGCAACAAATTCTGTATAATGTGCTTTTTGAATTTTCTTTTTATCTCTTATAGTTGAAAAGTTATTAAAGTTCAAAGTTTTGATGAATCAAAAATCATCTTGTATAACATACCCCCAGCCCAGAAGTAAGTTGATGAGATCTTTCAGCTTGTCATGGTGACTCTCATGACAAGCCTATCTTTTAGATCCATTATTTTAGCAGAAAAACACTTTCTTACACATAGCTCATGCTTCTTAGGAATCAGGGTGTTGCTGTGGGATGTTGCTATTTAAGGTAACTAAGTTGCACTATTTGTGATACACCTATTACAAAATAAATCAGTTATTTTGCTTTGAAATTTCCCTCTTTCTCTCTATTCCTCTTATATATACAAAGCCTGTCCAGAAAGTTCATGAACTTTGCAAATAAAAGTTGTTTTCATTTACCTAGAAGCTAGTCAGTTTTGTCACCTTTGAAGTAGTTCCCTCCTGAGTCTATGTGCTGAATTCAGCATTTCTACTATGAAAAGAATGCTTCTTGAAATGCTTCTTTTGGGATGAAGTGCAGTTCTGCTAGCAAATTTTCCTTAATGGCATCAATGAATTCAAAATGGTGACATTTGAGAGCGGATTTTAATTTGGAGGTTGGAGAATAAGTGGTGTCAAGTTCTTGGCCAAAAACTGTTATCAGCAATATTATGTGGATGGGAGCATTGTCACAATGCTGTCCTCTCCAAGCAGTTGGTCTTTTCTTCCTCTCTACTTCATAAATAAGTTTCATTACCTTCAGATGGTATTCTTTATTTATTGTCTTCCCTTCTGGAAGAAATACCTGTTGAATGACACCATCAGAATTGAACAAAACAAGCCTCCACATTGACTGAACTTGTCACCCCTTTTTGGGTCATGCTAAAGATTAACCCACCTACTGTGATGACTGACATTTTGTTTCCATGTTGTACCAATAGATCCATGTCTCATTCCCAGTGATAATGTTTTTCATGAAATTTTTATCAGACCTAACCTGTCCCAGAACTCTTCACTGAATTGCACTCATGGAAAGAAAATTGCAAAATGCAATCAACATGTGTTTACACAAATGAATATAACAACAACAAATGAAAAACAAACTGTTTTTGGCAGCTAGTACAAAAAACTTGCCAGTAGAGAGCTGTGCAAGCTGCATTCAGGTATATAATAATTATTGGTTGGAGTGTAATTTAAAAAGTCTGCAAACTTCCAAATGGACTTCATGCATGTAAAATTTCATTGCAGTGAGTTGATTCCTTCTGGATGCAATGCTTTTTTTTGTTAAAAGAGTGTTACACATACACACATACGTGCTTCCAATATTTTAATTATTTATAATTCGATGATTGAACAAAAAGATAAGGAAACATTCATTCCACCTTTAATAAATGTGATATAAAATGTCAGCATGAAAATAAAGAATATATTCCTAGAAAAATTTGGTTATTACAAGTTGAAATATTTTTCAGATTATTGGTCAGGTTCTTCCATATGACACCTTAGACGAAATAAGACGAAGAATGGAAGAGGTGGCACCACATCTGACTCGGTATGGAAAGATCGAAGATGCAAATTTTTCGTCGCAAGGAGGCGAACTCTGGAAGGTATTTCTTAATTAATGCCATTCTTTTATTTGAATGTAAATAGCAAAGAAAACAGATAAACTAAAATGTTTTTATTTTTGAGAATTCTGTATAAAATTCTGTTAATTCTCTATATACAGATGTGAGAGAGATCCCGTCACATCTATTACTAATTTAGTATTATTCTGGAAATTTCATGTCTTTATCTCAAATACTTTTCAGATATTTATTAATTCCCAATTTAATATAAAAGTTTGTTTTCTCTCTTTCCTAATAAATCATTTTAAATTTCTATTTTACCATAAAAAATGTTTATTATTATATTTCAGTCCACGGGATTTCAGTTTGAAGCAGATCCTCTACGACCCCAACTCCAATTACTAACAGATTTTTACATGACAGATTCAATCAGTCGTGCCTCTCCGACAATGGCCAAGTGTGTCCAGGCAGTCACCAAGCAGTTACAAAGTTCATATTAAATGTAGACGACTAACTATGAAATACATTTTCCTAACAACAGACATTTAAAATGATAATTATCATAATGTATATAATAACTTGTATTTATTAGGTTAGAATATAAGATCCTCAATTACGTTGCAATGCTAAATGGAAGTAGATAAAATCTATGTAATAAAATTTTATGTATACCAAATGTTTTCTTTATTCAAAATAGTTTTTTAAAACTAATAAATAAAGAGGTTTTACAACCAATTTAGTTTTTACCGTTTGTCTGTCATGTTAGTAGTAGAGGTTTGACACATACTGATCACAAAATTAAATTAATTTTTCAGATCACAAATAATTTTTAAAAATAACAATTTTTAAAATATTATTTCAAATAACAATTTGAAATAATATTTTAACAATAAACCAAAGTCCTTTAACCAAATTATATGCCTTTGTGTCCTTATCTTATGTTTAGTTATTAATTTGTCTACAAGGATTTAATTTTAATACTAGGACTTATACTGGTGACTTTGTTCTGCAATTTAAGAAAACATATCAGAAAAACTGTCTTTATTTTTCATGTGTTTATAGGTGAAAAATAGACTGTTTTTTCTTAAAACTTGTAGACTAATTAAGTACCAAAGTCCTTTAATCTGATAATACGATATCTATCCTGTAACCTTTTTTTGTGATTATTAAACAATTACGAGTATTTAGTTGTTAACTCTTGTATCTGAGTACTTTACTTCTGTCAGGCTCTCTGTCCTCTATCCGAAATCCGATCGCCTGCACACGCGGCCGCAAGCGTGACCAATGTCACGAATAAACACGCCGTCTCGGCTTTCGTGTCAGTCTTGAGGAGGCACAAAAGAGGTGCCGACCTGCGGTCACATTATCTTATCACGAGATTATCTCCCCCTTTTACCTCCATCCCTCATTGCCGCTGCCAATGAGTGTTCCACGATTCGTATATTTCTCTTCTTAAATTATTGCTCATTTTATTCTTTTGACTTGCTTATGTGCATGTGTTCACATAATTGTCTTTTAAAATCGTTTCTTTGCTTTTAATTTTTAGTGCTCAAAACTATTTCGCAACATTTTCTATTACAATATTCTGCTATCGCTAAATAAGTTCAGTTAAATTAATCCTGGGCTAATATGCATAATTAAATAAATAATTTTGGACTGCAGAAAATCAACCAGACGACTCAGCTAATAAATGCGATTACATAACATGGATGCTGTTAAGAAAAACATTAAGGATTTTTAATCTTTGTGGACGTCGTAGCTTATAAAAAAGGTCAACATCAATATAATTTTTAATTATAANTATTTAAGAGTAAGACGTGTAAAGTAAATCAGTTTAATAGTGTTGCTACTTGACCAGTGATGGTGTTTTTATTTAAGTATGAATATGTTGGCAATATTTTTAGTTTAGTGCTATTTGATTTATAGAATTGTCTATGAATTTGCAGTCAATCTATCCGTTTACTTGAGAGAAGTGAGTTAATAGAATAACACCATAAATTCAGATTTACAAGAAATTGCATCTTCAAGATTTTCATTATAATGTTGTTTTCCTGGCTAATTAAGTCGCTGATAAATACAAGGTTACGAATGACACACCATCTTCCTAGTGTTTAAAATAGCATATAATCATAATCATGACTATTTTCAGTTTTTATAGTTCATGTGATACAATAATAATGTACTTTTTGACACACGTTGAGTGCAAAGCATTAAATATTTTAATTTAATTGTATTCAATTAATAAGTATTACTTCTTACGGTTGAACATGAATATTTCTTTGTATTTGTTGCAGGTACAGTGTGGGCAAAGAAAGGTTATCTGGTGGACAGGGAGACGGGCTGCAAATACGATTGTTTGATATCGGGACCAAGTCGTTACTGCGAAAGCGAATGCAAATCGAAGAACCACGGAGGTGGTTGCGGCTATTGTAGGCGTTTTGCATGCTGGTGCGCAGGTTTGCCCGAAAGTACACCGACTTGGCCCCTTCCTAATAAATCATGCAGCACAAAATATCTTCCTGAATATAGAGAAGATAAAAAAATAGAAAAAACGTCTTTTACTCTTTATCAACTGATATATTGTGAAAATTATTAATTGCAATTAAATAAAATAAAATATAATACTTTCATTTGAAATATCTTTATTATGTGATGTACAGTTTACAGAATACATAAGCATTATGAATTTTTTCGTACGAAATCATTTAATTTTTAATTATAAAAAATTTTTGATAGTATTTCTCTGTTTTTAGAAGTTTTACTTCAAGTCATCTGTTTGTGATTTCTAAATTGGAAGAAACAAAGGTTTAAAAAGGAACAAATGACGGAGAAATTTTGATGTTGTGACTATATTCGTCAAAAAATTTAAAAACAAACATTTCCAACAAATATTTTCACCTAGTTTCTATAAGAATATTTTATGCAACTGAAATACCAAAAATTTTTCGTCTGGACGCGATCAAACTTGGAGAACGAGAATGAAACGGGATTTCGACTTTGTGAAGAAATTATTAACATGGAAGAGATTTTTTGATGTTTTTATATTTTCGATAATAGTTTGCACATAAATGTGCAAAACTATTTAAGTATATATTTAAATTTTTTGTCACTATAAGTTCGAATAGTAATAATTCGAACTTAAATTAACACTCAGAAGCAAAATATTTATATGCTATTAGATTCGTCAGATTATTCTGCATTAGAATATATAAAAAATTTTAGATATACTGTATGTATAAATTTTTAGTTTAGACGCGAAAAATGTCAGATTATATGGGAAAAACGATAGACACGGAATATCGAATTTTTGGTTAATGTTATTTAGGTTCTAAGATGGCGACGTTTCCGGTAATTTCGAAACGGAGGCGTGCGAGTTATCAACGATAGAGGGAACTATTTCGTAATAATGTGACGTGATGCGAAATTTTAATCGTAGGGACGCGCGATGATGTTACGAACGAATATGCAAATTGTAAATTTTAACGTCGTGTCTGTAGTTTGCCATGGAATTATGCAAATGGTCGGTAGTCGTTCGAAATCGACGGTGTTGCGACAAAGGTGTATGTTGAAATAATTGCTGTCTTCGTTCGGATAATTACTTTTCAAAATTGGATATTTGTTTTTTTTGTAATTATATTTTCTTATTTTGGAATTATGGTAATTTATAACTTTAAAGAAAATTTATTTAAAATATATCAAAGACAAGTCTCCAATAAGGAGCACCATTTATTTTGCGTTTAAGACATACACAGTAATGGCGACAGGCCTTCCTTTTTAGCCTACATGCCGCCAAAAGGTAAAAAAGATATATTTTAATAATAATCCAGCCATCGGACGGAAAAATTCACCAAAAAGAAATTTTAAATGTACCGTCGCCAGGGGCAGCTTCAAAATCTACATATTCCAGCGCTTTTTTAGTAGATATAAAGCAGAACCACCCATTGGCCAGATGGATAAGAAGTAAGACGTCTGTGTCACCGATTCCTTTACTTTTAATTGGATGTTTGTGTTTTTTAAAGGACTTTTTTACCTTTTGGCGGCATGTAGCCTAAAAAGGAAGGCCTGTCGCCATTACTGTGTATGTCTTAAACGCAAAATAAATGGTGCTCCTTATTGGACAGACTTGTCTTTGATATATTTTAATAATAATCCAGCCATCGGACGGAAAAATTCACCAAAAAGAATATTTATTTATTTTTTTTTAGTTTCTTTGCTAAGTCTTTGAAAATGAGTTTTGCCGATTTAAGTTCTGTGATGCTTTATGGTCGAGTTGTACCACGCGTCATTTCTATAACTTAATGGAAAACAGATTGTCGGATATGGGTTTGCCTCCCGATATGGATACTACATTTAAATTTGCCGTAAAATTAGGCATACATCAGACCGAGACCGAGACGACTCTAAATGCGCATTGTATTATAGAAAGGATAAAAATGCTGTTAAGACGTAGTAGATGAGGAATGTAGTATACCGCTTACGAAGAAACCTTAAAAAGTAAATTCGGCCACGTTCGTTGGGGTTGCATTTTGTCATTTATTTGACACTACCTTTGTCTCGATTTTACGGCCACCAGTTCGGCAATCGCGGCGCCGGCGACGAATACGGGAACGAACAAAAGAACCGCAACGAACGCCGACGAATCTACAATGTCGAAAAATTCGGGATCGAAAAGGAGGAAAAAGAACTATCGACGTGAGTACATTTTTATTTATATATTTCGCAATTCGCTTTCTCTTTTTTCTCTTTCGCAACGCAGCCGGGCGCAAACAAGATGACGACCGGATGCAGCGACCGAATCGGCGACCGTCACAATCTTGGAACCTAGGGTAACATTAACCGAAATTTTGTTAGGGTTAAGATTTTTTATCATTAACTTCAGTTTCGATATGCTAACGATAAATCGTCCGTTCACAGCGCAGGATAGGATGACAAATTATACATACCAGCAATGTCTTCAAAAATACTTTATTGAAGTTATTGTTAAGGACATAAATCACAAAGCAGTTGATTGCACAGAGAAAAGAACAAGAAGAAAAACGAAACCGAAAGTAACAAAACGGGGATATTAATTTTAAATAACGGGACGAGATCTCGCACTTTTCTCGCAAGCACTATCGTTCAGGAGTTACTAATAAACACGGACTTCTAACAATTTTTACTACTCGAACTTATATATTTCCAAAATCAGAGACATATTATTTATATGTCAATAGATTAGAGAGACTATTCTGCATCACAATGTATAAAAGAATTTTAGATATATGTATAAATTTTTAGTTTAGACGTGACAAATGTCAGATCACATGAAAAAAACAAGTCACGGGATATCGAATTTTTACTATTCAAACTGACACATCTCGAAAACAAAAAACAAAAGTCAGAAACAAATAATTTATATGGCATAGGACTCGTGAGACAATTCTGCACTAGAATACGTGAAACAACTTTAGATATATGTATATAGTAAATGTTTAGTTTAGATGCGACAAAACTCAGATCTTATGGGGAAAAACGATAATCACGGATAATCGCATTCATACTTTTAAAACTGAGGTATCTCGAAAAGTTGAAGTCACAAACAAAAAATTTATATGCCATTAGATTCGTGACACAATTATGCACTAGAATATGTAAAACGATTCTAGATATATAAATAAGTGTTTAGTTTATACGCGACTTTATTCAGATTTTATGGGAACAACTACAGTAACGGATAATCAGATTTTTATTTTTAAAACTGCAATAACTCGAAAAGT